TACTCATTCACTAATTTGTGTTCATTTTGGTTATTTTATCATACTCACCTTCGTTTCGTTATCTTTTAACAATCCCATTTTTATTGTGTAGTGTAAATTTATTTTGGTGCCTCCTCGCTCTAATAGTTATGTGTTAAAATAAGTAAATAGTTCACCCCAAATATTTCTAATAGTATACATTGCACAGTGAATAGTTCTCCCAATTTGGTCAATGGAGGTAGTTGTCGTGCAGATTTTCAGCAATCCCATCCTTTAACACTAAAACTAGTTTTTCGCAAAAAATGTGTTCGAATCAAATTCGATATTGTATATCATACTCAATAGTGGTATTCGCTATAGGTAATATATGAAATACTTGTAATTTTATTTACATTGAAATGGTAGAACAATGTAGTCAGACTAGAATATGTTCGGTTTTTTCAATGGCTTCGATTTCTGATGCTCGGAAAAAGTGTCTGAGATGTGAGAAACATTGTTACATAACACAAATATATCTCATCTTTTTATCCTTTCTTCCTAGCAGCTCCTATCGTTTTTCATGTTCTTTAAATATCTCATGTGATACAACCGATGAGAAACGTTAGAACTCATTGGTTACATTAGAATGCATGGCACATGCACTGAACTGCTGGAATATCAGAGGCCAAAAGGTATACCATGATTGCGAAGAATTACTGGCAAGCGAAAATATGGCTCCATGTACATTTTTAATTAATCTGAAATTATAGTGGAAATGATTGGTCTAATGCTAGAATAAGTTTTTCAACGCTATTACTCAGAACAAGTAGAGAAATCCTCTTGCTGAGGTTCTGCAAATTTAATTTTTTCCTAATGTATACATAGTGTTAGTTAAAATCGTTAAAGGCATTATAAAAATTTTGTTACGTCCTATGGTATATTCAAGGAATTTTCGTGTACCATAATCTATAGATGAAGTACATGGGTATTCTTACTGTTCATCTAACCCTAAATTATTAAACATCATCCTGTTAGTTCTTTTTAAATACGTTGTTTGTTGATTCTAAGTACTACATGAAATTACAGCAGCATGGTGTATCGTAGATCCAAATAATGTTAGATAGATTGATATGAATGAAGATCCTATGGGAAAGAAGTTTCTGGAACATCGAATGGGACGGTAGCGAAAGAGTGATACTAGAATCACATGGCTACATGATGATTTAATTGAATACAAATAGGTGATAATTAGGGACAGATTAGTATAATCTCAGTTGGTTGAATGATAACTTGAAGAGTTTAAAGATGTTACTACAAGGAGATTCGCCCAGAAAAGATATATTCGGAAGGAAAAGAAAGATCGATGACTGTTTCCTATTGAACATAGGTTTCAAGAGCATGATGACCGTAGTTCCAACCTACTTGGGATAAGGTTGGTTATTAATCACAACGGTATATGTCAAAGTTTCTAATAAACGTATAGAAACCATACTATTGGACACTTTTGTTTACATGTTTAAAGGTTATAGGGTAGGTACTTCTTTCTGTTTTTCCAATTTGACTGCATTCGCGGATACATGTAGAGTGATAAATAGTACTGAAGGTATGAAAAATCTTCTGTGTGTTGGTTAATCTCAAAAATTAATCGAACAGTAATGTAATTCTTATTAGGAAGCTGTGAAAACGGTCGAAAAGTATATTGTGAACATGAGTTGGATATTCATGAAAAAAAATCGGCAATGAAATTTAGTCAGGCTAGTTAACTATCTATCTTTCTTCATTTAGGCTATATATTTTTATATTACCCAATCAGCAGAATATAGCATACGATTTAGTTTTTAGGCATTGGAATAGATTCTATCAGCCAAGTTAAATAACTTAACGCTAGAGTACAGTGAATACCATAACTATTTCGCTGAAATAGTTATTCTTTTTGTCGATTTCGACGAATGCATTCGTAATCATGGGTATAATGAATGGAAATCACAGTGTGCTGTTCAGTAATAGTTGGGTGGAACAGGACAACACCGGATATGAAGATATCATGGGACGGCACAGACTGGGAGAAAGAAACGAAAATGGTGAGAGATTTGCAAATCTATGTGCCTTCAATAAACTGGTCATAAGCGGCACTATATTCCCACATGAAAACATACACAAAGCCACACGAACTTCACCGGACCACACTACACAGAACTGATTCGACCTTATGTGCATCAACAATAAGTTCTGGAGGATGTGAGAACCATGAGAAGAGCTGACATAACATCAGGCCATCACTTTCTGATCGTCAAGACGAAAGTGAAGCACTGGACAACGTGGCGGACAATATCACAAAAGTTCAATACGGCTTTTCTTTAGGATACTGAGAAACTCAACAAATTCAAGATAGTCCTCAGCAACAAGTTCCAGGCCTTTCATGATCTACTCAATGGAGAAGGAACTACTGTGGAGAGCAACTGGAAGGGGATCAAAGAGGCAATCACTTCAACATGTCATGAGGTTCTGGGCCACAAGAAACACAACCACAAGGAATGGATCACTGTTGATACACTGGATATGATCCAAGGATGAGGAACAAGAAGGCAGCAATCAATACCAGTCGAACAAGAGCAGAGAAAAAAAGGCAAAGACTGAACGCACAAAAGTAAACAAGCAAGTGAAGAGGAGCATCAGGACCGATAAACGTAAACAGGTGGGAGATCCAGCAATGACGGCGGAAAAGGTTGCAAGAGAAGGAAACATGAGACAATTGTATGACAAAACGAAGAAACTCGCTGGGAATTACTGTAAACCAAAACGACCAGTGAAAAGCAAGGAAGGCAAAGTAATCACCAACATTGAAGTACAGCGAAACAGGTGAGTAGAATACTTCAAAGAACTCTTGAATCAACCAGCCCCACTGAATCCACCCAACATCAAAGCATCACACACGGACTTCTCAATCGATATTGGCCCATCAATAATTGAAGAGATCAGCATGGCCATCAGTCAAACCAATAGCGGCAACGCAGCGGGACCAGACAACACTCCAGCAGAGGCACTGAAAGCAGACATGGCAGTAACTGCAAAGATACTCCACATTCTCTTCAGCAAGATCTGGGATGAAAAACACGTACCAACAAACTGGAAAGAAGGACACCTGATCAAGATACCAAAGAAAGCAAGTGTGAGAACTAGGGAGGCATCACTCCTCTCTGAACACCAGGAAACGTCTTCAACAGGATATTGTTAAGCAAAATGAAGGACTCCGTAGACGCCCAACTTCGAGACCAACAAACAGGATTCTGTAACGATAGATCGTGTACAGACTAGGTAGCAACTCTATGGATCATTGTGGAACAATCTATTGAATGGAATTCATCACTTTGTATCAACTTCATTGACTACGAGAAAGCATTTGATAGTGTGGACAGGACAACAATATGGAGGCTTCTTCGACAATACAGCGTGCCTGAGAAGATAGTCAATATCATACAGAGTTTATATGACGGATTACACTGCAAAATCGTGCATGGAGGACAATTGACAAAGTCGTTCGAAGTGAAGACCGGTGTCAAGCAAAGTTGTTTACTCTCACCCTTTCTCTTTCTCCTGGTGATCAACTGGATCATGAAGACACCAACATCTGGGGGGAAGCATGGGATACAGTGGACAACTAGAATGCAGCTGGGAGGTCTAGACTTCGCAGATGATTTGGCTCTTCTATCGCACACGCAACAACAAATGCAGGAGAAGACGACCAGTGTAGCAGCAGCCTCAACAGCAGTAGGTCTCAACATACACGAAAGGAAAAGCAAGATTCTCCGATACAACACAGCATGCACCAATCAAGTCACACTTGGTGAAGAAGCTTTAGAAGATGTAAAAACCTTTATATATCTGGGCAGCATGATTGACGGACACGGTGGATCTGATGCAGATGTGAAGGCGCGGATCGGCAAAGCAAGAGCAGCATATTTACAACTGAAGAATATCTGGAACTCAAAACAACTGTCAGCCAACACCACGGTCAGCACTTTCAATACACATGTCAAAACAGTTCTACTATATGGGGCGGAAACCTGGAGAACTACGAAAGCCATCATCCAGAAGATACAAGTGTTCATTAACAGTTGTCTATGCAAAATACTTCGGATCCGTTGGCCAGACAATATCAGCAACAAACTACTGTGAGAGAGAACAAACCAGATCCCAGTGGAGGAAGAAATCAGAAAGAAGCGCTGGATGTGGATAGGACACACATTGAGGAAAGCAACCAACTATGTCACAAGGCAAGCCTTCACATGTAATCCTCAAGGCCAAAGAAGAAGTGGAAGACGAAAGAACACATTACGAGAAATGGAAACAGACACGAGAAGAATGAACAACAATTGGATAGAACTAGAAAGGAAGGCCCAGGACAGAGTGGGTTGGAGAATGCTGGTCGGCAGCCTATGCTCCATTGGGTGTAAAAGGTGTAAGTAAGTACGCAAGGAATAGGTTAATAATAAATGAATCATCAGAGGGGCGAGAAATCACAGAACATATGAGCGATTATAGGTTAAAGGCAACAAGAGGATGAAACTTTGGTGTGAATCGACAACTAGGTAGATAGGGATTGGTCTGAGATAATTGGTTGAAGGTGGTCATATGTTAGTAGTAATAGAATGAATGGAGTGTTTGTTGGGGGGAATATATTCGGATGTAACAAATTAGGTATAAGATAACATCTGATGCAAAGATAAAAGAGGCCAATATAGAGCGAAGAAACTACGTTAACGCAAATAAAGGAATATCAATGGCCATGTTGAACACAGCGATCTTACATACCGTTTTTATAAGCATCAATCTAGTTTTATATTGGTATTGGGAAGGTCTCTGCAATACAAGAAGGTCTGGATTTGCCTTTAAACGGATTCAGTTTGATTTTGCAGATGACCTCGTATTCTGAATCCGGTACTATGTGATTATAATTAATTACATACTGTAGGATAGATGACTTCAAAATTTTGAGTTATCATTTATAGAGAGATATGCCGTCAAAAAATTATTATACTTGCTATCATTGAACGTACAACGATATTTATTATGTTTCATGCCATGCGAAATATAAATAACTGATGTTATTCACATTTAATATTTAACAAATACATTGTATACTATAATACATCATAGTGTATTCCAAAAATAGTGAACCTCAATCAAACAAACGAAGAGATTATTTGTTTTTTATTTTATCGTCTTCCCTCAACCATGATAATATGATATCCATACTGTGTTTTAACTGGAGGATCAGTGTACTTGGGATTTTCTAAAGTTGATATAGGCAAGTTAAATGCTGCATCCTATGAAAATTTTTTGAAAAAAAGAACATAATAAGAATAGATATTTTTCTGGTAAAACAACATACTAATACTTAATAAATATGAATAATGAATTTTACATGCGATTGATTAACAACACTGATATAAGCTTAATTGTGAGGTTTGTGTAAAAATAGTTTAATTCTGAATATTTTTGTGTGTAATGATTGAGATCGTTTAAGAAACCATTTAAATCTATGGAAAAATGAACAACTGTGCTAAATTCTTAAGCAGTGCCCAATTATAACTTTAAAACCTTTAAGTTTCGTGATGAGCGCGGTAACACTGGCATATATCCTCAAGTTCAATCAATTCCAGATGTACTTGTTAGGTCCCGATAAGTATAATGAATGGTAACTTTTGAGATCCATTATGGACCAATACTATACGTATATTTTTATCGTATAATTGTTAATTAACTAAACTATTCATATTCATGTCTCTCTTATTATGAGCTTTATTTTGACCTATGAACTTTTATTATAAGATTTTGCATTCTTGAATGATTCTCTATTTATTAATCACTACGTCCCACATTCACAGTCACATTTGGCCAAATCTTGTATAAATATTGTTTTCTATTTTATGGTACGTTGTGGTCTGTTTGATTGGTATATAAACTCAGTATGTTTGAAATATAATGATTCATATTGCAGTGGCTGAGATTGGCGTTCTGGACTTAACTGGCTAGGCTAGGCGGAAAGCAAGACAAGTTAGAACTCTAGGCTGCTCGCACGTGTTTTACGCGTCCTTGGTCTGATCGATAATTCACTGCTCTCTGATTGCGCAGTATTATTACGTTACCCATTAACAGGGCACTCAGGCAACAAGCTATAACAGTAATACAACAATTATCTAGATTGATCTATAAATCACTACCACATGCTGAATTTCAACTAGATGCAAGTTTTGATTAGAACTTTGGAAATCCACCTTAAAGTCAATCAATATCTAATATATAATCAGTATCGAGTTTGACGATTGATTCCATTCCAATACAATTTTTGAGAATGATTTTGTAGTTAACATCTATGTTTTGTTCTACTTTCTACTACAAGACATAACCCAATGTGATTTCATTAGTTTATTAAAAAGCAAATAAATTTGTTATCATCATTTGAAACAATAGTTAAACTATTTATGTTTTTTTCGGTCTAAAGACAGCAGAAACAGAGCATAGAAATAATTTTGTAATATTGATAAAGATTTTGGTCAACATCATCATTATTCTTTTTATCATGATTAGAAATAATGATAATATTGATCATTACAATTGAAATCATTACTTTTTGTTTTAGTCTTCAACAGTACATAAATTAGACTGACAAAAATGTCTATGACATGAATAGTGGCTCATGTTTGTTGTAATTGCAAAAGATTTCCAACTATTCATTATGAAAAATAAATATACAAAGTGCAAATTATAAGTTTGGTAGTGACAAATGAAAAAAATCTTTTTTCCAGAATATCAATATCATTTGACAATGGCAATAACTTTTGAAGTTCCAACATTAGTGAATGCATTAATCTGGTTGACTGATAATTTAAAAAAAAACACGGTAATACCAAGATGATGTTCAGTAGTTGAAAACCAACCAAATAAAGCTACACAACGATGAATCCAAATGGTAGTTGATAAGTTTTAACTAGCTTTAATTTCCTTAATAGTGAACATCACTGATTTTTATCCCAAGTTTTTGCGAATTGACTAATCCAAAAAATAGATAAGATTTTGATAATTCATTGAAGATACGAAAGATAAATGATTAAACCGAGAAGTAATTGTGCTTAATTATGTTTATAATGTTTTTTTGAAAGTATGGTTAAAAAATTTTAGAGCATAATTGAATAATAGGGGTATACCAGTATGAATAAAACTAGCTTTGTATAGAGAAGAGTAGTGATGGACAAATGAGAAAAACTTATGGAATTAGTAAATGACATAAACAATTTTAAGGGATACTTAATATTACGACTCTTGAAAAATATACGGTAAAAATAAAATGTATAGTGACATGGCTCAGAATCGTTTGCAATGGCGCAGGTGTATACACTTTGTGTTCTCCCAAATTCTAATCTCCTGATTCCTCCTTGTCTCTTTTTTCTCTTCTTAAATTTATTTCACTGGATCATACTCTTTAAATAACATCTCCAAACCTTAATCTTCCCGATTACTGCTTATACTCTTGCTACCTCTACCGCTACGGGATTTGAATCGACAACTGCATCTCTGTGCTAATGTGGTATGGCAACTCGAACTGATGTACGTACGTACGAAGTTCTACGTTGTTACTGACTGACTGATGATGTGTAAAATATCGGAAAAATGAAGCAAACAATCGAGATCCGAATAAAAACATCTACTTGAAAAAAATAACAATATTTTTTGTGATATCCTAATAAGTAATAATTTGTATTTCTAATGTTTCATGACTATAATGTAAGTCAATTCATGAGAGGAAGAAAATACCACATCAAAATACTTGTATATCATAGTCGTTTTAATAAATTAAACGGAAAGTCATTCTATGGATTCCTAACATAAAAAAAATTTATTAGGTTCATCACAAATGAGTTGCTTGCATTGGTAACACTCTTAGTCTCACAATATTTGAGTTGATAGTGAAGATATGTGGAGAAATATCAAGATGACATATTTTGATGAATACACAACTATAAATAATACAGAAGGTACATGTGATAAACTTAAAAGCTGTAACAAAATTATGATAATGTTGCAATTATTGTAATAGAAATCATTTAAAAACCCTGATACTATAGATTGCTTCAGACTATTTTCTATCAAGACAATAATCAATAAAAAAAGTTTTGGCTGATTATTTATATAATTTTTCGTATCAGTACAGTTCATGCTAAACTGACCAATTTCAAAGGTACTGGACTAATAGATTTACATATTTCTGAGATTTATAATAAGGAGAAAATATTATGAATAGTACAATATTATCAATGATGGTATAAATCTCGAGTAAGATGAAGTTATCATGAGGTACAAAATAAAAGTAATTGAATTATCAATGCATAATCTCAAGTAAACTAAATTATAACTAACTTGAAATGCACCGACCATCGATCCACGGGACATCCATCCTAGATCACCCCCTGAACGAGCTTTATCTTCACTGTACATTTCTGCTACTTGATTAAAACGTTTACCATTTTTAAGTTGTTCTAAAGCTTCTAAGCATTTACTTTGTTTTTCACATAGTATATGACGTACCTTAAATAAAAGTAAATCACAGAAGATCATATTAAAAGCATATATAAGACGTAATCTAAACAGAATAGCTAATTATTACAATACTCCATAAATTTGAAATTGGGTTTAAGATTACCAGGTCAATTTAAAAGAAGTGATTAAATTACTTTCGAACAAATGAAAGGATTAAATATTCTAATGGTCAAGGCTTCTACAAAATTATAAATGTAAAACTGCTTTTGTATACAAATTTTAAGGTTTTTCTAAGGTCAGTCTTAGTTAATGTAGTAACATTTGGCAGTTATAATTAATTCTTGATAGTTTAACACTCATCTGAATAATGATATATGAAGTGTAAGTATTACGTAAGATGTTAACATTAAATGGCAAGATATGTAAAAAATGATCTTGTTTTATTACAGGGAAATAACAAAGCATTAACTAAAATAGAAAGTAGTTTCCACTGAATCGTAATCAAAACTTTAAAATTGCGAATAAATATTAAGTAAAGAAATAAGAAAGAACATAAAGTTAAGATAATTTCAAAAAGATAGTAGATAGAAAAAGATAGTATTATTTTCCCCAAGAGTGATATTTATTTAAACTAAATGTTACTGTAACCAACTAAAACATGACACGACAATAATATCTGAATAATTAATACTAGGTATTGTGCATACAATGACAATAACTTTGCAATACTCCTTTAATACAGGATTTACATATTATTATTAGGCGTCTTTATTATATTGAATAAGGTAATCTATACTCCTAATCCACTGACAATGTATGCTCATTTAAAAGTTCTTATTCAATCAAAATTTAAGTTGGTTATTCATTTTAAAAGTTGAAATCACGAGTCGATCTAAGCTAGACCACCATTGAAAACCTGGAATCACTGGACGGTCGTTTCGTCCGAATATGGGAATCCTCAGCAGTGCGCATTCACAAAGTGATAAGAAAAATATTTATTAGAGCTCAGGATTCATTAGATGATTGAGTTTAAACAAAGTTCTGTTTATTTACGTTTGGAAAACCAGGTAGTATCAATGAATGTGATGAAACTAATTGTATCTTGTCTCCTCAAGGAAATTTTTAGTAAAAACGTGAAAAATCTGTTCAGAAATGAAAAAAAACATTATAGTACGTGCGCGGATCAGATATGAGTATATGGTAAATGAGTTATATTGTGTAGTTCAATAACGAATACACATATCTTTGACTGCAGTTTGAAGCGAAATGTAGCATTATTGAAGAAACTTAACGACGCCACTGGAAAACAACTACTTACAATCCATATGAACTGGTTTTAAAGATGAAAATACATCTCATCAGCAGTAAAGAAAACATAAACTGTTCTACTAATTTGACGTTTGTTACATTTCAATTTGTCGGTGAAACAAAAGTACACCTACTTAAAAAACCTTTCTCAAATCAAATATTCATCACCATAGAAAACAATAATTACGGTAAATCACGATCAAACTAGTAAATCAGTCAACTTGAAGGTATAACCATCATACTGAGTGAGTTAGGGGATTTTATCAATGATCAATAAGCAACGAGAATAACGGTTAACACTTCATTGACTTTGTAAACAAAAAGACAAATATTCTAGGACATCATAGATCTAATATAAGAAATAAAGGACCTATTCCACAACTGCTGAAAAACGTAAATGAAAACATTGAATTTGAGGTAAACACAATCTAAAAAATACGTATGACAAATAACAAAGCATTTTGTCATATTATATAAGTTACCTTCACCGCATTTGCCAACTTGGACTGTTTACCAGAGCCGGTTGATGATGCATTATCAGTTTTATTGTTAGAATTAGTTGAACTTTTTCCACTCATCTTACCACTTTTTGAATTGTCACTTTTAGCAGACGACTTTGGCATGATATTGTTTTTATTATTAGTTCTAGCAATGGCTGTGAAAGATAAAAGCAAAATAAAATTGGTATTATTCAGCGATCGAATAAACAACTATTATTCTGAAAAGGTTATATGGAAAGGAAAAAAATGTAGGTGATTTATAAATTAAAAGTCAGCTTAATAGAAGTTTGGTTAGGTAGTTAATGGCGCTTTGTTCAATCTGGTAGCTTATCATAGACAAGTCGGTTGGACAGGTGGCAAGGACTGAATAGCTTATTTCGTCACCATTTAGAACTAATAGGAAGTCTGAATGCATTTCGATACAGATTTCCAGTAATCCTTAACTCTAACTGACGAACTTGTAATTAAGAAAACTGATCAAGGTTGAGTCATTCAAAATAACTTTGTTTACAAGAGATTCAGTACTCCAAATGTATGCTCTTTTATTCGATAACCTTAAGAATCAGATCAATCAGGATAGGTACAATCATGTAACACTGAAAAACTAATAGTGATATAATATTGAAACAAATGATCACTACGGATAAGTGCACTAAAAGGGTTCTTTATGAATATATATTATTCATTTATTTGTAAATTATATTCTGATATTAATAACAGATCATCATTTCTAACCTTCATACATCTGTTTTAGATTAACACACAAAATTTAATGTGATATAAGAACAAAGATCCTGTCAAAATAAAGGGTTGAGTAATAATTGAACTAAACAACATTTTGTTATTCATCCTAAAGAACCCTATCAAGCATAGAACTGTTTTGGTTAAATCCAGTACATGAAACAGCTTTTATGCAGAGCATAATCAAATTTAATTGCTTTAGGCGCTTAAACTTCAGTTAAATTACAAGTAAATGTAATGACATTCTATAAAACCGTGCAATTTCATTTAAAATATGTACTATAGCTAATCCACCATTAATAATCAACTTCCTATCCCACTACACCTATTCGGATTTCAGTAAATAAACAGTATCTAAATGTGAACTTGGTTACTGAGTTTCATCAAATTTAAAATTATATGATTTTCCAACCATCATTTAGCATACTTCAATTATATATATGTACATGAACGAATGTGTAAAAGAAGAACATATAAGAATGTACATGAATTCTTTTATCTTTCCAGTTTAAATTATTAACAAATGAGGAAAATCATTCAAAATTAATATTCTGAAGCAAAAGAGCAACAGGGAAAATGATTATTCCAAAATTATTGTCTGATAAGATACAGAGAGAGAGATAAGTGTGTGTGTGTGTGTGTTCAATTCATGTCAAATTATCGAAGAAAAAATTAATGTTATTAATAATATTAAATTTTTACAAGAAATACAGAAGCTGCCATTAATATAACTGCCACATAATTAACTCGACTGGTTGATTCTTAATCCCTTGTGTTTCCGTAGATCCCTTTCAAGACTACAAAAATTAAAATTGTTGTTTAACCTAATACATTCAGTTACAATTAAATATAATTAAAAAACAAAATGTCATCTATGGATTTAAATCACACACATCATTCAAAAGAAGTCTGGTGTTTATTCGTTTTCTCTTTCTTTTTTCCTTTTTTTTTTACTAAAAAGGATAAAACACGTGAAGTCATCATTTACATTTTAATATTGCCTTCATTGTATTTGAGAAAAATAAAGGGGAAAATAACAAAAATTCAATATTTCAGCATTTAATAAAAAGTAAGTTGCTAACGGATGACCAAAACAGAAAACATAAGAGTCATAAAAATAGAGTAAATAATAGAAAAGTGGGAATAAATAGTGATTATTATTATTAACATTAAAAAATAATTCATTGGAAAAACAGCACAAAATCGTTTTCAATACAATCATTATTATTATTATTATCGAGATCAGTATAAATTAAATAACGGTTTACAAAAGTATACACATATATGTATAACAAAGTATTCAAATGATCTAGTGTTTCTCATTTCACCATAAAGGAATGTTAATAATGATAATAATAAGAAAAAGAATAGTACAGTAACTTCAGAATGTTTGAATAAGTGAATATATATTTGTGTATTATAGTGCTGTTTACTTAAATTGATCTATTGTGTAATACACATTTTGTTAGTATGTAAATAATATCGACAAACAAAAAAGACAAAATAAACAGAACAACGTGAAATGCCTTTTTTTTCTTCAAAATCACTATTGAAAATTTCATTATAAACTATTTTACATAATTGATTTAAATTTAATATAATAAACTTAATGCACCAGTATCACTTCCTATAATTAATAAATTATTTTCTGATAATGAACTAATGGCACTAATGGAACCACGTAGAAAATGTGAAGAAATTCTGCCTAAAGTATAAAAGTTTTCATTTATATTATTATTATCATTATTATTGAATGGATATGAACAAGTTGCTAATATTGTTCCACTATTATTATTAGTAGTATTGTAGTATGGTTGTGGTACTGTTGTAACAGTTGACAACGGTGTAGTTGATGTTTCGTTTATTATGGATGACAATGATGATTTATCTGAGTTAGTAGTTACATTATTTGTTCCTCCGATTCCACTTCCACTGCCAAAAATTGGGAAACGACTTGTACTCGGTAATGGATATGATGAAGGTAGAGAATTAGCACAAAATATAGGATTTTCTTGATGTTTAGTTAAACATGTGATATTCTGGAGAGTTGATGGGATTCGAATAGATTTTGGTTTTAAAACAATTGTGGGTTTATTCGGTAAATAATTAAAAGTTTCTAATTCACTATATGAAGTTGATAATGAATCCTGATTGAATTTTGATAAAGTAGTTGGACTAATGAATGACAAACTTCGATCGTTACATGATATAAATCCATTCAAAAGATGTGGGATAATCTAAAGTGAATAATAATATCAATATATAAGGAGTTTTACTATATGGAGCTTAGTATGTAATTTACTTAATATGGCAAAAAAAATCTGGAGTAGATAACTAACAAATCAACTGTTTACTCTGAGGAGTAATTTTATCCTCCCTGTTAATAACTTAAATGGCAGGGTGAAAAATTCATGAGTAAGGTAGCAATCTGTTCCGTTGAAAGTCAAGGTATTCCACCAAAATCTACAGAAGCATTCCCTGTGACCGAACTGGTATATATTGGGTCAGTGAAAACTGCAGAAAAACTCGATTGGCCAAATGAGTGTCGGTGCAGTTGGTGAAATCAATCCACTTATGGTAAAATCCAGGACGATTATAAGAATCTGATCCATATTTGTCGTTCTTACATTAAGTTTAAGTGATTTAAGGATGAAAAATAAAGGCCACCTGTTCAATTGGAATTTTGGAAATTTTGAATATAGAATAAACATTCGGTAACTTGCTTCATTTTAGTACAATATGTTAGTGTCAACCAGCTCTGATAAACGATTCCAAATAACGGATGAAATATTTTTATGTGACGCTTATCACAAACACTGTTGCAAACTTCGTTTGAGCTATTATATAAAGAATATTTTGTATTCACCTCATTGTTGTTATTAACAATGTAGAGTTGTGTGAAAAATCATTGACCGAACAGTGTACACATTGGGAAAAACCATTAGTTTCACCCTTTACAAGTGTGGAAACTCTTAGTTAAGGTGTACATAGTGTTTTAAAATTTTTAATCGTAGTAGAGATAGATTTTAGAAAATAATTAAAACCATGAAACAAAAACGAAAAACAAATTACTCACATCAACTACTGAATCCTGATATTCTCTCCATATGTGAATAACTTGTCCCATTCGTAGATCTAATGCAGTAATTATGCCTGTTGTAAAACCACACAATAAATAATAACCATTTCGACTAGTTGTTAAACAATTTAACAAACCAGTCATATTTGTATTAGCATTTAGTAGAGAAGAAATTGGCGAATTACTATTTGTATTAGTAAACGAATTAATTGATAAATGATACGGTTGAAATTGATTAGTTATGTTCATCATAATATTTGTGATAAATAAATCCATTGTAGACTGATTGTAAAAAGGAGGAGCTATTGAATGGATAGAATGAAGGTAGAGAAAATACAGGTAAGAAATATGTAACGAAATCTAAAAACAGTTCGTCTATTAAAAACATACAGCTTGTTGAACCGAATCTTTTAATAATTAAAAAACAGTGATTTAGCAGTAAAAGAACTCAGCTTTCAACTATTAGATCACAATTTCGAAGTCCCTTCAATTATATACTTAGTTTATATGTTTGGGTGAGTACCATTAGAATTTATACAAAGCATGTGTCTAAAAATCAAGTAATCGAATGTGTACTTGAAAAATGAGTTAGTTATGGAATGTTCTTTTTTATGGTCAAGTTAAAAAAAACAGCATATGATGTACAAGAGAATAAAACATTTAAAAAATGATAAGATGCAATAATTATTTCTAATATGATGATTAGAAATATAGAGGTGTATGAAATACACTGTTGATTCAATTTATTGAGCTGGTTGAAAGAGAAGATAAATGATTACGCAAACATTGAAAATCAAACATTGAAAAATGGTCTAATTTGTAAAAACCTAAATTATATTATATGAGTAGAAATAGCTAAACTATGACACTTGTAAAACAACAATATTCATATTCATTGTTCAAGTGAATAACTAAACCACACCTATACAAAATAAAATCACACATAGTATTCAGTGTATAGATCGTATGGTAGTAACAGTCAAATAGTCAATCATTGTTAATTTTACTTATTTATTTAAACACATAAACATTGGTACAAGGAGGCACCAAACAAATCATTTGATTTATGTGAGGTATGGGATACTGCCCGGGTGCCCAAACCGAAGCAGATGGTTTTCTTAGGGGGCCACACCAAGAGCCTTTGACCTAAAGGTCTAATCCACAAGGTAGTGGAGCAACGTCAGGAGATGCAGTCCCATGGTAGCTGGTGACGAACGATTGGCTCATACGCCATTTGTTCCTTCAGGATCCTGGAATCCATATACACCATTGGTTTGGAATCAAGGTTTTCCAACTCCCCTAGGTGGACCCTCCGTGTCCACCAACCCGGCTAAAGCGCCGGACATTATTAATTGTTCTATGGTGTCCACATTTATATTTCATTATATATATATAAATTCAGTTATTTATTTACTCTGAAGAAGTGGATTACATTAGGTCACAAAACGTCAGAAATACAATTTTCCTAGTCATTAGGATATGAAAAAATGTATGTTTATCATAAAAAATCCAAGAGGTTTATAAACAAAAAAACAGACATGTAAATTAAACTCACTAGATTGTGGTTATAATTAGTTACATAAAAGAAAAAATCTTTAACCTGCTTCTGTGTAACAAGTCACTTGAAGATTAACCATTGA